CCACGGGCTCCTACCGGCTGGAGAGGTGGGTGCCACGGGGGGTGTGGACAGACGGAGAGACGGACAGATGGAGACGGAGCGCGCTCGCAGGACTCATGACAGAACATGATTATTATTGCTCTGTTGTGTCACATTGTCGTGACTCTCTCCCTGCGCCTGACGTACAAGTTAAAGTGCATCACAGGGACGCGCGTGCGGAGCGCACACCTGTGGCCCGTCCTCGGGTTCGCGCCCCCCCCCCGGGCCTGGAAACCGAGTGACGGGGAGACCACGGAACCGAAGGACACCCGAGACGACGGCAGCCAAGGACACGGAGTCACATGCGGACACGTTAGTTACGAAACAGTGACGGGCACTTAAAACGCCACCGCATCAGGGACACTCGGGAGCACGAGTCATTCTCTGCAAATCCGCTTGTGCGCGCAGCTCGGAGACCCTCGCGGGTCCTGCCTGGCGCCCGGCCCGTGGGAGGCGCTCTGCGAGTTTCCTGGGCAGTGTGTCCTGTGAACCCTAAACACCAGGATCGCCTGTAACGTGTGCAGCTTGTCCTGTGAGCATAGTTAGGAGCAGCCTGGGGTCCCTGGATGAGAACCTGTTGGGTGCTGGGGACTCAGCGAGAGCGCCTTCGGCTCCATCCCGCTGCAGGCACAACCTGCTGGAATCCCGTCCTCTTACATGGTAATTGGAATAACGTCCTGTGACACAGCGATTGGATGTGTTGGTTGATGTGAGCTACAAAGCGATAGGCTTGCTGGTCTTTTGCGCAAACAGAAAAGTGCCCTTGCAGTGCCCTACAGGCAGGTCCGGGCCTCCCCCCCGCCCCCCCATTCCTGCTCCTCGTGTTCTCTCTGCCCATCCACGCGGGCGTTGCCCCCGCTGCCGCCTCTGCCTGCAAAGATCCCCCCCGCAGCCAGCCCCTCATGAGCTTCAGGCGGTCACAGGAAGGCCACCTTTGTGGTAAGGGCTACTCTGACCGCCACGTTGAAAAGTTCAGCTCCCTTTAGTCACATTCACCACCCGCTTCCCTGCTCTGTTTTCTCCAGAGCATCCACTACAAACGGACGTTCTGTTCGTTTTAATTACATGTCTGCTCACCACCTGCCTTCCTGTGGCAGAATGTAAGTTCCTCGAGGCTGTTCGCGTCACTGTTGCACCCCAGTGTCTGAGGAGTGGCTAGCACACTGTACAGGCTCAACACATATATTTTAAAAAAATACTAGAGGCCCGGTGCACGAATTCGTGCACCCCTGGGGTCCTTCGGCCTGGCCTGCGGGGATCAGGCCAGAATCGGCTCTCCGACATCCCCCGAGGGGTCCCGGATTGCTAGAGGGTGGTTCTCAGGTGACGCACCCCAGAATTGGGCTCCCTCCTCTCTCCTCCGGGTGCGTCACCCGAGAACCACAGCTGCCAAGTCACCGCAGCTCCACAGCTCCTGCATTGAGCGTCTGCCCCCTGGTGGTCAGTGCATGTCATAGCTACCAGTCGGATCGTCAGAAAGCCACTTAGGCTTTTATATATACAAGATATTCTTAGTGATTTCAGAGAGGAAGGGAGAGAGAGAGAGAGAAACATCAATGATGAGAGAGAATCATGGGTCAGCTGCCTCCTGCACGCCCCGCATGGGGGATGGGGCCCACAACCCAGGCATGTGCCCTGACCAGGAATCGAACCGTGACCTCCTGGTTCACAGGTGGACGCTCAACCACTGAGCCACGCTGGCTGGGTGGCTCAACACATATTTTTGATGATTGCATAAAGCAGCTAGTAGGTTATAGTCCCTGATCAGTTTTTGTACTTCTGTATCAGCATTTGATACTGAATATTGTACACTGATGTGCCTGTCTCACCCACCAGAGGGAATTGTTCAAGGCAAGGTCCAAGTCTTCTTAATCTTTGAATCCTCAGCTGAGAGTGCCGGAAGTAAGCAGGTGGCCTCGAACATGTGCTGATTGAACGAGCCAAGGGATCCAAAATCAGCACGTCTGTGTACCTTCCCAGTCGCACTTGCCCCGACGGGTCCTCAGATGTTTGAATTGAACTTCCTCAACTTAAGGAAGTGCCTGCTCTGAACCAGGCTCCCTGCCTCCGCCGTGCGCTTGGCAGTATTTGATGAGCAGAATCACTCCTGTGAAGTGCCAGTGTTTTCAGTGAATCCCAAACTATTTTCCACCCCCTGACTTCATGTCTTAAACACACTGAGTTTCATCAGTTTTGTTTGTTTTTCAAGTGTTCTGAGCAGTCGCTTCTAAATCTATTGAAAATGTTATCAAATTATGTGTTTGTTGTTGTTTTTTGTTTATTTAATGTTTGCATTCGATGTTTAGAGTGCCAGGGAACAATTATTTGGTAGTTTGTATCTCAGGCAGAGGAACCATTCCTGAAGTATTTTCACATTTTTTTAGAAGAATTAATATATTACATATGTGTGCCATTGTATGTGTGGGGTGTGTGTGTATGTGTATTTGCCATCACAGAATTCATACACTAAACTCTTTTTTTAGCTTCAATTGAAAGAATTTCTTTTTGTTTTTCCTTCTTTTCTTTTTCTTTTTTTTTTTTTTTTAGGTGGGAGGTACAGGATGGGGGGATGGGATGCTGATTAGCATAACTTTTCCAAGCAGCACAAACACATTTCACAATGGGATCTCTGATAAATGTCCAAATGGATTTTAAAACTAAGTAAATTGAACTGCTTTTTACCGAGTCCCATAATTTATTTCAACCATCTGTGTCACACACACACACACGTTTTTTCTTAAGTGCTTTATGATTTTTTTTGTTCCCCCCAGCACCCTCCTCATTGGCCCCCCTAATGGATCGATACGTCTTTCAGTCAAGAAAGTTTTTTTTTAACATCACTCAAAATATGGAAGCAAGAGCATCCTTCTGGCACCATCCTTTCCTTGTAAAGGCCACCGAATGTTTCTTGCTGGGAGAGTGTATGGAGCAGTTAGGATCCTGGCACCCACTCTTGTTCTAGGGAGAGCGTTTCCTGGCCCACACTTGTTGTTGCAGGATAGTGAATGCTGGAGTTTTGGGGAGCCACCTCCCCATCTGTACTGGCCTGTCCACCATTGGTGGCTGAGCCGTGGCCTCTGCTAAACTATGCATGCTTACTCACTTATTTTGCTTACGGCTAAAAAAAAAAAACCACCTTTATGGATCACCTACTGTATGCTGAAGACATGACACATAATTCCTGACTTAATCACCACAGTAATCTGAATTTAAAGACTGGGAAACTGATGTGTCTGTGTTTTATTGGAATTTTCTTTTTTTTTATTTATCTTTATTGTTGAAAGTATTATAGATGTCCCGTTTTTTCCCCTTTGATCCCTCTCCACCCACTCCCGTCCAGGCGTTATTAAAACAATGCTAGACATTGGTGGACTTTGTTTCAAATGCATTGTAATTTATAAAGTGCAGTTTTAGTTTTCTTCATGGAGAATGATACTAACTTTTCAAGTTCCTACTTTGCTAAGCAATGCATTAGACAGTATATTAATTATCACAGTTTAAGGAAAACAGGCTTAGTAAGGTAGACTACATATTTTCACAAGACAGAGAGCTGGCATAGCCTGGATTCTTGCCTAAGCCTCTTTTTCTATCACTGTTCTACCTTGAGATAGAATCAATCAATCTATTGATCTAGCTATCATTTATCATCTATTCTATACTATTCTGTCTATGACCTACAATAATACTGAATTTTGGGAATGATATTACCTATATCACTGCTTTTCTGTGCTATAATAAGAAGAAAACATTATACATAGAACTATTATGAAAATTACATATATGGATATATGTATCAACCACAACCTGAGTAAATGTGTATATTTGTGGTGGATGCATATAGTAAATCATGCCTAGGTGATGAGCTCAATCACAGATTTCACACAAATGAAATAAAGACTGTCCTGCCCGGCTGGTGTGGCTCAGTAGTCGAGCATCGAGCTATGAACCAGAAGGTCACAGTTCGATTCCTGGTCAGGGCACATGCCTGGGTTGGGGGCTTGATCCCCAGTGTGGGGTGTGCAGGAGGCAGCCGATCCATGATTCTCTCTCATCATTGATGTTTCTATTTCTCTCTCCCTCTCCCTTTCTCTCTGAAATCAGTAAAACATGTATATTTTTTAAAGACCATGTCCTTTTTCTCCCCTTGTTTGAACTAAGCTAAACTCCTAAACATCACACAAATTTCTAAATAATTCATGTGATGCATTGATACAAGAAGCTATTCATACTTTAAATTGATTAGGCTAAGAATATTAAAATTTGGTTAAAGTAAACAAAATGATTAAATAATTTGAGACCATTCAACCTAGGGAAGACAAAGCTCACTAAGTTTGCACAAAGTATGCTGTTCTAAGAGTTTTAAAATAAGAATAGGGAGCAGTTGTTTTCTATTTTGACATCAGATCAGGAAGTGGGTTTAACAAATTTTGAGAGCGTTGAATTGGATGTAAACAAAGCCACCTCTCTGTCCAAATGATCAAATATTAGCATGGACGCCTGGGAGATGTGAGGTCTTCCTATTGGGAAGTCTGCGCGAAGACCGTGAACAGCCACGGACCCCCACGTGGAAGGGGTGAGCTACGAAGGCGTCTCGAGCCGTCTTCCCAATGTTTCCTTCCATGGATGTCCCGGACTGTCTGTGTGCTTCCCTGCCATTCATAACCGTACCGTAGGCAGGCACAGTTGTTGGCTTTAATTTTTAAACAGATCTCATGGCCAGATGATTTATTGCAGGTTCTCTTTTCCATCCCATTGTGTAGGACTGCAAACAGTGATGGGTC